GCCAAGGACACGCTCCACCCACACCTCACGGCTGCTGCTTGTTCTGGTCTGAACATAGTGCGTCCAACGAGAGATGTTTTACGCTTTTTGGCCACTCAAAACACGTTCGGTGTGAACGTAGCATAACAAGACAGCAGCAGAAGAGGAAGTGCCACAAACTCACAGAGATCATTGGATAGATGAATTAACTATTAAATTTGAGCTTATCTTGTTTTTTTGTTTGTTTGTTTGTTTGTTTTAAAATTCACCCTCTTATTATTTTCAGACCTGAGAAGAACAAGCTTCAAATCATCCCAGGACAGCTGAATGTGACCATTGAATGTGTCCCACCTGATTTATCAAGTATGTTATTTCCACATGCTCCCTGTATGTCAGACACTAAATGTGGAAACTTATTTTTTCAAAATGTTTACCTGTATTTACAAACATTTTTCCCATCGAAATACATCAAGGAGGACCAGATCAATAGGTAGGTTTCAATCACGTGGCTTTGAAGGTGGCACAATTTCGAAACTGCTGTGATTCTGTATTGTTCGGGTTTAGATCCAGTTTCAGATTCAGATTCGCTTTGTCATTCAAATGTAACATCAGGGATGCAATGCAGAATGAAATTTGCAGTTAAGAACACCCATTCAAGAAGACACACATGACAAAAACATTGGGGGAAGGTGAACAGGTCATGTGCAACCAGGGTCACACTACCTTTTGCAGCTGGGAATGCACAATAGGAGAGAAGTGTTAAAAACAGGACAAATATACCAGCAGTTAGTGCACAAATATGTCAGACATGACTCGTTTGATGAAGATAGATGAGTTTTCAGCAGAACCTAGAGATTTGCAGACAATCGAGGCTGTCAATAACACACACTATACATCTTACATCGCCAAGTAAGGAGGTTCTTGCAATCATTGGACCAAGTGAACTACAGATTATCAATACTAGTCTTTTATCAAGTACAGTACCTGAAAGTTTTTAAGCATACATTTGTAAGTCCTCTACTGAAAAAAAAAACAAGTCTCGATCCATCTCTCTGCTCTAGCTTTAGGCCTATCTCCAATCTTTCATTTATTTCTAAAATTTTAGAGAAGGTTGTCTACAACCAGTTGTTACCRTTTTTAGGCAACAGTGGTATCACTGAGCCATTTCAGTCTGGGTTTAAAGCCCTCCACAGTACAGAGAGTGCGCTATTAATAGTTGCAAATGACATATTTTTGTCAATGGACTCCTGAAAGTTTGTTTTAGTGCTTCTAGATTTKTCCACTGCATTTGACACCATTAACCACAGCATTTTAATCTCTCAGCTTGAGCACTGTGTTGTCATTAGTGGTGTCGCCCTCAATGGTTTCAGTCCTACTTGTCTAGTAGGAGCTTTTTTGTAAAGATTGACAACTCTGTCCTCCACAGCTCACCTTCCACATGGGGTGCCCCAGGGGTCAATCCTTGGCCCCCTTTTATTTGTCCTTTACCTACTTCCCCTTGGCTCTGTTTTTAGGAAGCATGGTATTTCATTTCACTATTATGCTGATGACTGCCAGATCTATTTTCCCTTTGCACRAAACAACAWAGTCCAACTCATACACTGCCTTAATGWTATAAAAGCGTGGTTCTCTCTTAACTACGTTAGTCTAATTGAAAATAAGACTGAAGTWATGTTGTTTGGACYGAGTGGCTCCTCCTCCCCCAAAGTAGATCTTGGCTCACTGTCATTCCATCTCAGGGATTGTGTCACCAATTTGGGGGTGAMGTTTGAGTCTGATTTTAAATTTGACAAACAAATCAGCAGTGTTGTTCAGAAGAGTTTTTATCAGCTACCTCAAATAGCAAAGGTGAAACCAATCTTGGCAAGATCTGACCTGGAAAAATTAATCCATGCTTTTATAACAGTCAAGTCTTGATTATTGTAACTCATTATATACAGGAATTAGTCAGACCTCTCTCCCACCTGCAGCTTGTGCAGAACTCTGCTGTTCCCCTCTTATCTCAGACCCGTAGGTTCAAGCATATCACTCCCATCCTGGCATCCCTTCACTGGCTCCCTGTTCACTACAGAATTCAGTTTAAGCTGCTGCTGTTTGTTTTCAAATGCTGAACAATCTTGCTCCCCCATATCTATCTTGAGTTGCTTCAACCCTACTGCCCACCCCGATCCCTAAGATCAGCTGCAGCTGATCATCACTAAAACTAGGCGGAAACTTAGAGGCGACAAAGCATTTTCAGTTGTCAGTCCCAAGTTGTGGAACAGTATTCCCCTGGGTGTCAGACAGGCTTCTTCTCTTCCAGTTTTTAAATCTCTTTTAAAAACACACCTTTATTCTCTGGCTTTTAACACACTGTGATTTTGTCTTATATTGCAACGAATGCTCACATGCTGTGAACCTCGTATGTGTTTTATGTTTCTTTTATTGTCTTAACTTATGTCTTAATGTACAGCACTTTGGTTGCCCTTGTGGTTTTTAAAATGTGCTCTATAAATAAAGTTGATTGATTGATTGAAGTAACCCTATGGAGCTGGCGTTGACATTGGGGAGGATAGCGACTAGCATGGATAAGCTGGCATTAGCATTGGAGAGGCTAGTGACTAGCTTAGATAAGCTGGCATTAGCATTGGAGAGGCTAGTGACTAGTATGGACAAGCTGGCATTAGCATTGGAGAGGCTAGTGACTAGTATGGATAAGCTGGCATTAGCATTGGAGAGGCCAGCGGCTAGCATGAATAAGCTGGCATTAGCATTTGAGAGGCTAGCAACTAGTATGGATAAGCTGGCGTTAGGCTAGCGTTAGAGTGGCTAGCAACTAGCATGGATAAGCTGGTGTTAGCATGGGAGAGGCTAGCGACTAGCATGGATAAGCTAGCGTTAGCATTGGAGAGGCCAGCGACTAGCATGCCTAGGCTGCTCACCTTTTTTATTAAACGTGAACTTTTTTGAATAAAAAAATACTTTCTCAACAAAAATGGTTGACATACAAAACCTATAAGCGAGATGCACTGACAGGTGTTYCTCAGGCAGAATTTACTGTTSAACATGRCGCCAAGCATAAATATTAAACATAAAATATATTWTTGTGAARCAGATGGCTTTAGTTACCATCRGAATTAGCAGCTGCATTTGACCTTGTCTATTGGTTGATGGCGGTGTTTTTTCTTTTTAGCTAAAAAAAAACTAGTCACTAACCTCTCCAATCCTTATCCAATGCATGTTTGCATCAGCTGCATTTTGATTCTTCAAACCAACCTGTCCTCTCTGTCCTCTAGACACCGTGACGTCCTCTTACGTCCCTGTCAGACCCTTCGAGGACAGCTGTGAACGGGTGTCCCTGGAGATTGAGGAGTTCCTACCCGAGGAGGCCAAGTACAACCACCCRTTCACCACGTACAAGAACCAGCTCTACATCTACCCCTGCCTGCTCAAATATGATAACCAGAAGACCTTCACCAAGGTGTGTGYCTCTGATTATGATCTGTGTGATCACATGTGAAAATCTGTCACCAGGAACCATTGTTCCTACTGAGGATGCAACAGATTAGGCTAAGTGGGTCCCTTCTTTACTGCATGTGCTTATGTGCTTTCTTCACAACAGGCTCGAAACCTTGCTGTCTGCATACAGTTCAAAGATTCAGATGAAGAGGGAGCGACTCCCTTAAAGGTATGTTGTTATTCTGCACCAGGGCCAGCCCTGGACATTAGGAGGGGGCCATGCAGAATCCTAAATTATATGTACATCACTTTTTAGAAAAGTGTTTTCCAACCCTGGTTCTCGAGGAACACTATCCTGCATGTTTTAAATAGTTCCCTGATTTGACACAACAAATTTGTATGAATTTCTGATGAAGAAGCTTTCAGAAGTATCCGAGGACCAGGGGCCTCATGTACAAAGACTTGCGTGGATTTCTTACTGAAACCTGACGTACGGTCAAATCC